TAAGTTTTTACAGTCTTCTGTTTTCCAGTTTTGTAAACCCTTGCGATTTATAGCCTGCTGCTGTGCAATTTAGAGATGCTCTTCTGCATACCTTGGTTGTAACGATGATTATTTGAGTAACTATGATCTGACCATTCTCCTCTGACATCAGAAAGGGATTTTTCTCCCAGAGAACTGCTGCTCAATGGATATTTTCCCTTTTTGGGGCCATGGAGATAGCTTTGTGAGAAACTTCCAGCAGATCAGCAGTTTCTGAGATACTCAGAATCAACGACCATGCCATGTTTAAAGATTCTCAGTTTGAACTGCCATCTCTGCATGCTGCAATAAGTTGCTGACGCATGATTGGCTGATTAGATATTTACATTAATGAGCAGATGAGTAGGTGTACCTCTTCAAATGACTGGTGAGTGCAGTTCTTAAAATGAGTCCTTTACAAAAAAAACTGATGTTATGCAACTCATAACTAAGAGTAAAGGGGTCTGAAGAAGGGCATATCAAAGGTAGAGAGAAGTTTGCCTTTTTTTTCTTCTTTTTAATTTTCTTTCACAGCTGAGCTGGGTTTAGGAGACAAAGTACTTGGTTATGTTTAGAAACAGACTGTGGCTTGGCATAAAAAACACCCTTTCAATAACATAACCATGATTTAGAGAGGCTTACTGGAAGAAAACCTTCACTCATTAGCATTATTGCCTGGAAATATGTCACGTGACAAGAGACGCTTAAGCATGGAGGTAGGGGTAAAATTACTGTACAAATACAATAAATATATGGGAATCCATCTTATCTGGAAAATAGCTGTTTTGGGGATAGGTGATTTAAAAATGCTGCTGCAGCGAATGAGAAATTAATATAATTAAATGTGAAGCTGTTGCATGACATACCATCATTTAAAAAGAGTAAGCCTGGTGTATTTTAACAAAGGCCCATGTCGCTACAGGCATGGTGGAGTGAAAGTAGCATATTTAAGTAAACTTTTTCTCTAAAAGTCAAACTGATTAGAAAGAGTCAAATCGGCAGCCTGGTTAGTAAACCTGTCAGAAGACTAAAACCCACAGTACACTGTATACATACTGACATGAACTGTACAGTCCTGAAAATGTCACGGAGACATTTCCAATATAAACCGACGGCTAAACATGAGCCGACACATCAGTGTTGACAGAGAGGTTGTTAACATTCAAAAAGAAAACACACACAGCCAGCTTGCTACGCCTTTTTATCCCTGACAGCAGACACTGTAATGGCAACAGACACACCAGAAACAAGATGAAGCACACGCAAAGCCACTCAAGAAGCCTTTACCTTCCTCTTGCTGCGTCTCTGCCTCTGAGCAGACATAATCAGGTCAGCGTATAGAAGCGAGGAATGACATTTTGGTATATAAAGAGCAAATTCTCACAAAACCTTTACCTACCTTCCTCCCTGAAAATACAGGAAGCAAAGACGTAAACTTTAAAATCAGCTGATTTTGTGTATTTATAGATGTGTTTCGAGGGCGTAGCGAAGGTACTCACAGAATCTCCTCGATAACTTCTACTTCTAGCTCTTGATCGCACATCTTGGATCACAGTTACCTGCATCGGAGAGCAAAACATCAAAAAGTCGCCACGCAAATTAAATTTGATACATTTTTACATAAGAAAAGAAGCAGCTGTTGAAACAACACGAAATCATACCCACACGTATCCATCCGGGTCATTAGGGCTTTCACGTTTATTCGTACATTTCACAAATTTTCGTGCTGCGATTGTTTGTTTTCTTGACATCTCATTGCCTGTAATGTTTTCGCAAAAGCCCTCGAGATTTTTTTCCCCTCGAACAGATGGATTGCATCTTTCTCCTTTCGGTACTTTTATCATTTGTGCAAACAACTAAACCAAAAATCCACAAAAAAATATTTAAATAAATTAAAAAAAATTGGCTACATGCTGTGAGATTGGAGCAGTTGTAGAATCCGGAATGATTCCACCATGGGCACTGCAGGCAGAGGCCCAGGGCTTTAAACAGCTCCAGGCCTAATCCTCAGCCATTTCCTTTTGGCGCTGATCAAGGCTGCAGTCAGCCGACTAGAGTCTGAAAAGCGCTGAAAATATCAGGCTTGCATGAGTTCTTCGGGGATGCACTGATGTATCTGCAGCCACACATATTGCATTGGCTTTGATACGTACACTCGTAAACAGTTTCCCAGGTACTTAAAAGACTTTGAAGTAGTGCAAGAAATCTCCATCATAACAGGTGCTATTTAGCGTGATGGCAATGCTTAACTTAATATATTTCTTTTAAAAGCAGTTGTATTTGATTTCAGTACAAGCTCGGTTTATTAAGGGGCCATTACCCTCTTTTTGTTTACTTAGAAATCAATTTTCTTGTCATGATCTGTACTACTCAGGCTGAGTGGCTGCGGTTCCGAATTTCAATTTCTAAAGTCTTAGAGGGTAACCTTGATACAGACATGAGGATGTCATGAGGGTTAAGCTAGACTTGTAACATAAAGATTGTGTTACAAAATTGTAGCGTGGGGTTTGAAAGAAGTGCGTGTTCACCCAATGCATGAGTGGACTACTGTTTTGAAGGCTGACGCTTGAGATTTCAGATGTAGCCATCTTGGCACATCTGTCATTCAAGGCAAGGCAAGTTTATTTGTATAGCACAATTCAACAACAAGGTGATTCAAAGTGCTTTACAGAGACGTTAGAAACAAAAACAAATAAAAAGCATGATTTAAAATAGATTAAAACAAGCAAACAAACAAACAAACTAATAAACAAACAAACAAACAAACAAAAGAGTATATAAAACCAAAACAGATAAAATCAGAACAGTAGATAAAATCAGTAGTTAAAATGTAAGTTTTGAAATTTAAGCTTAAGTGCGGATTTGGTGCTTTATTTAAATGCAGCTGAGAATAAGTGAGTCTTCATCCTGGATTTAAATAAACTGAGTGTTTCAGCTGATCTGAGGCTTTCTGCGAGTTTGTTCCAAATATAAGGAGCATAAAAGCTGAATGCAGCTTCTCCGTGTCTGGTTCTGACTCTGGGAGTAATATTAAAACAAAATGTATTCAGAATAGAAACAAAAGCCAAAAGCTGGGTAAGGTAGAGGGGTGGATCTGATTCTAGTGATGAAGCCCATTAATTCACTAAGAAAACAGTGAATTAACCGACTTCTATTTGGAACCACAAAAGTTCCCCCTCAATGGCCATTACAATAAATGCAAGTCTAAGGCACTTCTGCATTGTTTTTACATTTTATACCTGGAAACTATACATGGTTTAAAATCTAAATTCATATTTAAATTGTTTAAAAACTGATCATTAAATTGCCTCTTTTATTGTGTTACACCAAAGTTTTGAAGCATTTAATGTATTATGGCATTTTCATGGAAGCAGTAAGGATGAACATAACTTTTCACAGAACTGTATCCAGCCCCTGAAAACGTTCTTATTCACAACTTTATAGATAATCAGTTTATAGGTCAAGACATCTCAAGCTCCTCTCTTTTAATTTTTCATCGTTTCTTTCACAGGAATAGGATATCGTTTTGTAAATACCTCCCTCTGTAAAAACACAACCTTTATTTTGATAAAGAGCACAAACAAATGTATTTCTGATGTCTTTATCTGTTTCTCGTGGAGGTCCTTCGTGAAAGTAATCATCCCTTTGAAATCAGAGAAAGCTACCTAACATTAAGAAAATGAAATCACACATAGGAACACGGTCGATCCAGCTTCTGTAACAACACCATCAAAATGTCTGGAGTCAAGGTCACGCTGCTCAGAGGAAGGGATTCAATAAGGTTCTTTATATGTAACAGTTGCATGTCGGAAATATGGTTGCGCAGAGCACCTCCTGGGGCCGTGTGTTTCTTTTCCACATGCTTATAAATCACCGAACCGTAAACGCCAATGTCAGTGGGTCAGAATAGAAGGACCGAGGGCGAGGGTCTATTTATAAGAATAACAGAGCAAGCTTTTGAACAGGTGTTCAACAGCTCCTCCAGACAATGGGCTTGGCTCACCTCGCGCATACTCACAGTAAATCAATGAGCTGTGACTCGGGCTATTTTTGCCATTGCAGTTTGGTCAGCTGATTGTTTGGGGAAACATTTTCACAATACCTCTGGGTAGACTCTCCTGCTTTTTAAAGTCATATTTGGTAACAGATATTTGTTCTCATGCACACGTTAAATGGATGACGAAATAAAATTAGCTCCACATCCCCAGTTCCGCCCTCGCTCCCGCTGCCTGGCTGCCGTCCCGACCAGCTGCACATTCAATCTCTGCACGCCATATTTACACCTTCTGTATATGGTTACTGCCCCAAATGTATGCTTCTGTTTAAATTCTGCTACACATGCGCTCAAATTCACACATCGCGGCGCCTGTGGAGGCCCCAGTGTGGTTACTTGTGGCACTGAACTCAGCAGCTGACGTCAAAAGGGCCAATGCGAAGGAAGAAAAAGCGAGCGAGACCAAGAAAGGTAGAGAAAGCTGAAATGAAAGAAGGCCATCTGGTTGAAGAATAACAATAACTGGAAACCCAGAAAGAATTCACAATGTATGAGAGCTGTCATGGCCGGGTATTAAATGAGTATTTGCTTTAATGAATGCGGTCAGTCCCCGTCTGGCTGAAACTGTGGAACAACAGAGAGTCTGACAGCGGCAAGAATGTTGCGGGTGCTGGTTTCAGCATTAGGCAGCATTAAGTCAAAGCCAAAAGCATGCAACCAACTCCAAAGTCTCAGGAGCGAGCTTAGCACCTTCCACAGCGTGATATACACAGTTTGGATCAGAATAGAAAAAAAAAGAAGTCATCATAAAAATGCCCAAGCCAGTTTGATCCATTACATCTCACTACGAATGAGTAACAGGTAATCGTTTGATCATGCTGATGGGTTTTACGTTTCTAACTCAGGAGCGCTTTAATTGCAATTATTGGCCTTTTTGACATCATGCACCCTGAGATGATGCTCAACTCTTACCTCCTATATATTCCTTGAAGAAAAAAATGGGATTAGCCACAAGTACTGGTCTTATTCTTCAGCTGCCAGACAAAGACAAGTTCAATCATCCGCCTCCCAACCCACAGCGCACACTTAATACAGCCCTGTTTGTCACGTGACCACATATCTTTTCTATGACTGGTCAGGATGGTCAGTTCTATTGTTGGAGGCAGACAGATGAGTTATACCTGGACAGACATGCTGCCTTTGAGTGCTCACCATAATCCGCTACACATGAAGGGAGAAATTGGAAATACTTTTCACTTTAGAGTCATTTTAAAGAGGGCTGTCAGAACGTCATGGTTTTTGTTCCTTTAGAGAAATGACACCACAAAGCTGTGCTCTGCTGGAGTGCAAGTACAATTGCCTTCAAACTTGTACCTTCAGTTACACCCCAGCCAAATAATTTCAAACACATCATTCATTTAAGAGCATGATAATTCACTAATATTCAATATTTCTGAAGAAAATGACTGAAATGACGTTTTAGTTTGGACACCTGACCTAATATCTTCCAATATTCAACTTTTAGTTATACAATGCAGAAGAACCACGAAGCAGCTTGTTGGAAACATGTTTTTGCGATTTTGACCATCGTCAAACTCATTATATTCAACTTTTTCCAAGATTGCCTATTATATATTAATTTTAAGGACAGAATTTCTAGGCATAGCCAGGTGGAGGTGTGTTTCCACTTTGGTGGAGGCCTTATCCAGTGAGCGGCAGTTCTGCTGTAGAAAACGCCTTGAGCAGATACAGGAGATGAGAGGAGAATGACCAGACTTCCCCCAGCTGCTGGGAATTTGGCATAAATAACACAAATCCATGGACCTTTTATTAATACCCTTTCATTCTGAAAGCAAACAGGGTCCAACCTAGTACTAGCAAGGTACTAGATCAGGGGTGGGCAACTCCAGGCCTCGAGGGCTGGTGTCCTGCAGGATTTAGATGTGTCCTTGATCCAACACAGCTGATTCAAATGGCTAAATTATCTCCTCAACATGTCTTGCAGTTCTCCAGAGGCCTGGTAATGAACTAATCATCTGATTCAGGTGTATTGACCCAGGGTGATATCTAAAACCTGCAGGACACCGGCCCTCGAGGCCTGGAGTTGCCCACCCCTGTACCAGATCAATCCTTCTGTAGCAAGTACTAGCAAAGCATGGGTCCATCCAGTGGTGGTGGTGTCATGGTGTGAGGGTATTTTCTTGGGCTGTTTCATACCAATTTAATTCAATTACATTTTATTTATCTAGTGCCAAATCACAACAGTTGAGGCTGTTTATATTGTAAAGACCCTAAAATAATAGAGATAAAAACCCCAACAATCAGATTACCTCCTGTGAGGAAGTACCTGGCAAGAGTGGGGAGGAAGAAATTACATTATATATGGTTATAACACCAGATATTGTTGCTGACCATGTCTGTGCCTTTATGACCAATTTAGTACCAATTCTCTGATGGCTGCTTCCAGCAGGACATTGCACCATGTCACAAAGCTCACATCATCTCAAACTGCTTTCTTGAACATAATAATGAGTTCACTGTACTCAAATGGCCTCCACTGTGTTCAGTTCTCAACCCAGCGGAGCACCTTTAGGATGTGGTGGAACAAGAGATTCAGAATACGAGAAACGAAGGCAGTCGTGAAGGCAAACGGCAGTCCAGCCTGGTACTACTATAGAGAAGCATCTGGTGAGTGCATTAAGTGAAGTTGTGAAAGGAAACTCAACAATGTGGAATACCTCAATGTATTTATTGCTGTTGTTGAGTCAAGGTTACAATGTTCAACACATTCCTCCGCTTGGAATCTGCCTGCTTGTATGACATTTGGAGAGAGACTACAGATAGTGTATTCTGCATAGGCTTAGCGCTACACAAGGAACAAGTGTCTGGTTAAACATGGAAATTTAAAAAGTGGACACAAGGCTGTAGAAAACAAAACAAAACAACAACATTACGAAACCATTACATTAAAAAAAATACAAAAACGTCACATTTTATCATGCTTAAAAATATTTTGGTCCAGCTCCCCTGCTCTTTTCAGGAGCCATGGAATGTGATTGTCAGATTGTTGAGCAGTAAAACCGATCAATTTAATGCCCTGACAAACAGTTCATATTCTTATAAGCTTGTGCTGCGCGAAAACGTGAAAAATCACAAGTCAAAATCATGCTGAGCTGCTAGGAGGCTTTAAAGTACTGTACCTCGGCTGTCCTAAATGCTGTCATTGCAATCATAAGGCCAGAAGTTTTACATAGTGGTAAATATCCTTGTTACTATGACCTTGCTATATGTTTAGGCACCCTGATTTTACTTTGTATGCCCTCAATATGTAAAGTATTGCTGAGCATAAGAGTGTGCATAGAGGCAAAAAAGAAGTAAAAGGCAGATAAAAAAAAACATGTCCTACATCATAAAACTTTAAGGCAGCAAAGGCACCACGTGCAACTGCTTTTAAGAGGAATGTCTGAAGATGTTTTAAAGTGTTCGAAAGCTAGAAAGAACTCAACCCCCCCCCAAAAAAAACAATAAAAAAAAAAAAAAAAAAAAAAAAATGACATGAAAGGACAATAAATGTCAAAATGGCCTTCTGAATATCCAACACTCCTATCACCTTCAAAATCAACTGCCTGTTGGTGAATGAACAAAAAAGCAAAAAAAATACCTTTTGTTATAAGTATACAGATGTTATATATGATACGGTATGATAGGTCATAGTCAAAATCACATGTGCTAGCATATATTACTCAGACCATTGCTGCACTATTGGTAAGACAATAAAAGTGAAATCAGCTAAACTCTAGAAGTGCTTATATTTCTATCCTGAACAGGTGAACGTTGAATAATATAGCATTGTGTGAAGCTTTTGCTTTAAATATAAATAAAAAAAGAGAGAGATGGAAAATATTCTGAGGGAGAGAAGTGATATCGCCCATCTCTTTGGAATGTGGAAACTTTTGAACTCATCCACTCAGCACGGAGTACGAGACATAAATCTTAATTCTATTCGTTTTATTGTCTTCCTGGCAGGATTTTATGAAGTAATTAGTAATTTTAAATGTCCAAATTTCACAGCATTTTGTTGTTATCATACTTTTTTTTTTTTTTTTTTAGAAAGCAGAAATTATTGTGCAAAGGCACTATACGTGGTAAGCCTATAACAATATGCTGATGCTGTTTCGGTACAGTGCTCGGACAGTGTCTGTCCTGTCCCTGCGTGCTCTTGGGGGTCCCTCCTGGGGGTGTGGTATTTGGTTCTTAAGGAAAAGTCAAAGAAGATTCTTGGATTGTCGTGGTCCCCAGCTTTAGTGGCTCCTTCAAGACATTAGTGTCCCATACCTATCGAAAGACACAAAAACGAGTACATCAGTGGCCCGACTCAAAGTCCATATACCCACACAGGTCTGTGTTAAACCAAGCAGTGAGGTGTTTAAATTTGGCTCCACAGAAGTCTGAGTTTATTGGACTTGTTTCGACTTCAAAACAAGGAGTCAAAATAGTTTTGCTAATTTTCCATATGGTACTGTGGAAAAGTCTTGACTCACCACTCGTCTTTATATTTTGATTACAAGGAGCAAGACTTTGGTGAAATATTGTTGGTTTTGAGCAGGAGTTCTTCAAGTTTCCCAAAGGTCTTTTATATTTTTTAAAAGACCACCCCTTGTAACAGAGATATTTATTTTTTTGTTTGTTAAGCTACCTAACGCTGACCTATGAATCATTTAAGTAAAAAACAGACAGACAGCTTAGCAAAGAACCAGTTTTAAAGAGTAAGTCGTGCCCTTAAGAAACAGGAAACAATCCAAGCAAAGACCTGACGCAGGATCTGAAAGATGGCCTTTCATCTACTGATCACTAATATCTGAAATGCTCCCAGTGGAAAGAAGTCATGTCAAGTCATGACACAGAGGTACTTCAAATTACATGAGAACTGGTCTCAAAATCAGTGGCAAGTGAACTTATGGAGTGGTGATTACAAATAATATTTTTGGTTCAAGTCGTCATCAAAATATATATGAACAGCAGTGAGTACACACCCATCTGTAATGATCTGGGGGCTGCATTTCAGCCAGTGGTGTTGGGGTCTTGACAAAATTTAGGGAATTATGAATGCAGCAAAATACCATCCATCATGCAACAAAACGAGGAAAGTGTCTGATTGGCAAGAGCTTCTTTTTTCACTGTGATAATGATGCCAAACACACTCTCAGTCCAGTACAAACATATCAGGACAGAAAAACACGCACCAGAAAACTATCAGTCATGGATTGGCCTCCCCAGAGCCCAGATCTCAACATTATTGACACAATGTGGGATTGTCCTGACAGAAAACGATGCAAAAGGCAGTAAACATCCAGAGAAGAGCTTTGAATGTCCCCTCAACAAGCCTGGAGAATTACTCCTTAAGAGATGACAAAAACTAAGGCTACCTTCACACTGCAGGCGAAAGCGCATCAAATCCGATTTTTTTGAGCCTATGCGACCCATATCCGATCATGCTATGACAGTGTGAACGGCGCAAATCCGATATTTTCAAATCCGATCTGGGTCACTTTCGTATGTGGTACTGAATCCGATACATATCCGATGTTTTAGAAAGCGACTGCTGTTTGAATGGTCAGGTCGCAATAAATCCGTCTTTTACGTCACCGACACAAGACAGATGCCAATTATCAGTGCCAGAGAAGCGCCCGAGAAGACATCGTGAACGCTTCCTGGCCATCCAGCGTAGATGTCAGTGAAACTGTTGGCAAGACAACGTGAACATTTTATTTGTACTGTATAATCTGCAGATTCTGACAGAAATCTGCAACTATCCTTTGACACCGCTCCTCTCTAAAACAGCAATAAGGATCATTATTGGGTTATTTACATTATTATGTAAATAACAAAATAACTTAAAGCAAAAATTGGGAAACGTGAAGTCAGAAGTCTTTATATTAAGGGCCATCAGTCAAACAATATTGTTTGCTCTGGGTCTAAACAGAGCGCGTTGTGTGTGACGTCTTTTTTTGCGCATGCGGGCCGCTTTGAGGGTTCACACTAGAGCGTGTTTGCTGTCGCATTTTATTTGTAGTGTGAACAA